TATTAAAAATTAAAATTCCACAAATTTCGTTGAACTTGTTAAAAGAATAGAAATATATCGGCGCTTAACGTGTTGATATTATATTTTCTGGCCAAGGAATAAAATATCGTGGCTGGCGGAGAGCTAAGTGCCATTTAACTTTTTAATGTGTTTCAGGCACACGGCGCAGAAACTTTCGCAAAAGTTCCGCGATCGTCCATTAAGCGCCGAAGACACGGCGGTTTATTGGATCGAATACATCGTCAGACACGGTGCGGACGCGCTTAGATCGCCAGCGATGAATCTGACATGGTGGCAAATAGAAATGTTGGACGTTTACGCATTCCTTCTGATCGCGGCGCTCGCTATTCTTTACTCCATAGCCATCGCAGTTTCATTCGTGTACAATTTAGCTACGAATGCCGAATCGGGATCGCGCAAGAAGAAAGTTTCTTAAATGAAACGTTTTCTTTCTTTTCTACGATACTGTGGCTGATGATTTGAAACGTTTCGTTACGTCTTCTCGACGACACTGTTGTTGACCTTTCCATTGAAACTGAAAAGAAAGGTACTTCTTTTGAACGATTTTCGTACACGTCGCTCTTGATAGAAGAGCGATGGAAAAATTTGAATAGACGTTTGGTTTGATGGAGTCAAAATTTCGTTCAGTGAATCGTTCAGGTGTGAATTGTTGGACTTTTTAATTGTATCTGTAATATGTTATCCTTTTGCGAACTTCTTGACAAAAGAATTTAATTTAATTAAGTTTAGTTGGTTAATTTAATTAGTTTAATTAATGAAATTTAATTTAATTAAATAAATACTTTGGTAGCAAAGTAATAATTATGTTTGTGTGGCGTAAAAACTGTGTACATAAAATTGTTGAACAAACACACATAAAAACTGTATTTTCTTCTGTTCCATCAAGAATAATTTTTAGAAAAAAATACTTAAACAGACATATTTGCGATTTACCAAAGTAATGATTTACTAAAGCAAAAAGTTCACAGCTGTTCTCGTGCTTAAAATTGAGAGAGAAATGCATTTGACATTTGACACTGACATCGAATCAGTGATCCAGCTTTTTAGAATTTTCATCGTTGCGAGAGAGAGCACGCTTGGGAAACCAACGGATAAACTTTAAAAAACAGACACTTTTATCGATGATACATGTCGCTAGTCATCACGCTTTTATCCGCTAGGATTTATGGTTCACACAATGTCAACTAGTCACTGACGCATTTTATTTGCCAATTTTTCGAATCTTTCGATGAACGCATGCGTGAAAAAAGAGCGAGAAAGAGAACATTTTATCAAGAAAATTATTTATCCATTTTTCGATTTTTATTATTTTCCAATCGTAATTATTAACCGTAATCGCAAATATCAATTAGTGAATTAATTATTTCGCTGTTAGTGCGAGTTCTTATGTAACGTCAAAGAGAACTGCAATATCATGAAGACTTGTTAAAAATTATTCTTGATAACGAAGTTTTTCAATTAATATTACGATTAAAATTATATAGATAATCCAGACTGCATGACACTGCAGATATCACATGATGATTAAGATTAGATATCAAATATATTTCAGTAAAATGATAAGAAAATTGTCTGCAATTCTTTTTGCAGGCAACATGGCGACATGTCGCACTTTTCACTCAAAGTTGAATAGATTGACCAAAAAGGAATCAAATCAACATCAAATAGGGATTATTGTAAAGAGAGGATTTCAATATTCAAGGCTACCGTAGATTTAATTCTGAAAAAAATTTTTTAACAATCGTAGAGACGTTCGAATTCAACAAAATTTCGAAAAGAAAAGGGCAACTTCCATTCACACTTCCTTTTTATAGTGAAAAACGTTTCAGTTTTCACTTCCTTTTGTAATAAAAAAAAAAAAAAATAAATTCGAGCACGCGAAAGTAGAGACTTCACACTTTGAAAATGAACTCAAGTTCAGAACGTTGTACGACAGGAATTCGAAAATTGAACTATTCTTCCACTATTATTTAACAATCTCTCAGTTTTTTGTGGAGAAGTAAGTAATATTGTAGAGTAAATTCTTTTGTGAATTACGTGATTACATTGATACGAAAGTTATTTTATTAACAATGTTTTAACAAACAATGAGAGACGAGTAACCTTGATAATATATCTGAACTTTGATAACATATGTGAAGGTCAAGGTCATCAGAAGTGGATTCCCTAAATCACGATTCCTTCATTAAAACCATAAAATTCTTAATTAAAAATATCGCCAATTTCTTATTAAACCGATAGTGGACACGTGGACATTTGAAACGGAAAAAGGTAACATTTATTTACTACAAATATCTATATTTTATGTTGCTTTATTGAAATAACAGCAATAAATATGTAGATATGGACAAATGTTAACTTTACTCCAAAGAATTCAAGAAACAATTTAATTAATAATTATAATTTATAATTATATGGAGAAAATTCGAGAAATTTACATATTATATAATTATAATAATATATTTATAAGCAAATCGTAATTTAATAAATAAAATCAATTATCCCGCTGGATTTCCACGTGTGCGTTGCCAGGTTAAGTGCGTGAATAATAATTCTAATAATTCAAATCCTGCGTTTCTCCCGGATTAGGCAGTATCGCCGGTAAATGTCACAAATGCATGAAAATCACATGTATATTCGAGTCATCATGACGAAAATCTGACCGGCAGACACAGATTGGAATTCAAACGTGAGCCGAGTGAGAAGGGCGTCTGCGCGAGTTAGTTATTGCCATAAATTGCCGCCGCGTGAAGCCGCAAATCGCATTTGAATTGGGGTCCTATCGCACGATAAATTCCACGATAAATTCGAAGCTGTGAATCAGCTTTCACGGCAACGTCGGACCATCGGTCCACGAACGAATCGCTCGCGAATAATATTGGAAAACGTCGTTGGTTGCGAATCTAGTGGAAAAAGTCTCGAGAGGGTTGATCCGTGAAACATTGTGTGCCATTTTTGAGGAAAAATTCTTGGTCGATCGAGCAGAAAGTGTATGCACAAACACACACACAGGGCTAGAAAACAGTGGTGAATATTCGAGACATGAAAATAAAGATGACCAGAAAAGATAGAGAAATCTTTCGATTGGTGAATGAGCAAATGGATCAATTCTGGATCCTTTTGAGTAGATTTATGAAATTGATTGATTTCTTTTTTTTTAATTAACAAAAACGTGAAAGTTATAAACACGAAACAAGTTAAAAACATAATCACTCTAATGGGTCGCAGAATTCTCTAGTATTCGAATTGAACGTTCACAATACAGTAATTTGAATGACGAGTGATAATTTCGAGAAATAAAACTTTTGTACTAAAGTTAGCCAAAATTTCTGAACGTATCTTTAATCACTTACTGATTTGTTAATTTTAACATCAAATCTCGTACAAACATATTATCATTCGCAATGTACATGTAGCAAATGATCGATTAATTTAAATCTCACTGTGACAAATTCGTTATGTCAGATCCAGTAGCAATAAGGTATTAATGAAGATTTAATAATGACAAAACGATAAGAAGAGAACTAATAAAATTCACATTATAAATACGGAATTACAACGTTTGTAAGTTAAACAATATTATCGATATGGAAGTTTCATTCACCGCGAGGCACATAGAAGCCTCATCTCACCTAAGCCTAAACTTACATAAATGTCTCTATTTTTTTTCTTTTTTTTTTTTTTTTTTGTCAGATCGACGCAATTGACTACGATTGAAAGTGATCGAAGAGATATTAGTCGTACGTGTTAGTGTACACCTAAATTACACACGGCACGTAATCAATAAAAAAAAAACTCCGTCGAACTACATCGTGATCGAGAAAACTGGATAAGATAACAATATTTTAAACGAAAAATTTTCAAAAAATGTCATGAAAAAGAAAAATTTCCTTTCAATAGATCAACGTATCAAACCTCTTCGGACTCAATAATTTTTGAGAGGAATAATTAAGAAGCACAATGAGTTATTTTGTAAAGTTTCTGTTCTATACATTTTTAGAATATCTCGTAGAAGATGTTCATAGGGAATCAGTTTTCTTTTTGGGTACCAAACGTTCGAAGAAATACAAACGAAACCGGTTTGTGGTAGTCCGTAGCTTCCCTGAAATTTACCTGCCCGTTCCCTTTCATTCTTTTTGTAAATGGTCTATTCATTCGTCTGAAAAGCTCCAGACATAGAAACACAAACTGCAGTTTATTTTAATTCATTTCTGAATTAAATGACAAGAGCTGCCTCTCTTTCCCAATACTAGTTATTAAAATACTATTAAAATACTCATTTCAATCTCAATTAATTAATCCTAATTAAGTATATCGCACTGTTTAATTTAATCTTAACTAACACATTACACTGTTTTAATCTTAATTAGTATAATACACTGTTAAATTTATAAAGAAAATTCTGTAATTTTCTTCCCGTGTTATGGAAAATCGTAAGATATTTACAAAGACAGTCTGGAAACGGTCAACTATCCCGCATCCATTTTGTTCGAACGCTCCTGGCGCTTTACAAACAGATACGATCTCGAATCGTTCGCGAGGTAGAATCTCACATCAGTGTGATTCTGCCTTTCAGACGCGAACGTGCTTCTTCTACGTCGTTGGTTCGTTTAGCATTATTAATAAACAAACGTTATTGTGCGTGAGTGTCGTTATAAAAAAAAAAAAAACTGAAGAAATGAACGAGAAATTGCGCGTCTAATATCTTTTTCGTGTCCTTCTTCTTATCGTAAGTAACTTTGATTGATAAATTTTGTTATACTTCATTCATTATTTTATCATTTATGTACGAAAAGTGATTTTATTATTACAATTGAAAGCTTCTAAGTTCACGGACAAACTCGCTTGAAAGAAGATCGAAGGTCGTGCCTTTTATCTTTTAAAAAGGAACAAAATAAATTATACATGCGCGAACACTGGGTTCAAAAGATAATTTTTAAATAATTCGTAAAACCAGACTAATAACACAACAAAGATTAAATAATATATCTAACTGAATAATAGATCAATAAATATTTCACAAATATTGGTACATGTTTAATGACATTATTGCCTCTCTCTCTCTCTCTCTCTCTCTCTCTCTCTCTCTCT